CGACTTAATATGGAGCAAAGTGCAACAGATTTGAAGCTACTACAAAAGATGAAAGCACCGAGTTCTTCAAGTTTAGAACTGCACAGCTGTCTGCTTTTCTCTTAGAATAATCAATTTTACGAAATAATTCAGTTGTAATAAAATTGTAAGAAAAAGTAAGAAGATGCTTTCTCATGAAATAGAAAAGAATGTTGTCCTCTTTTCATACACTTCTGGAGAAGATTCTTGACTAAATGTAGGAAGAAGAAATGCAAAAAAACAATGTAGTTGCCAAGACTGCCACAAGCCAGCAGCCGGACACTGTGAGGCTGCATACACCTCTAAGTGATAGAGGGGTATAGAATACCTATAGAGCTGACTCCTTATAGGTATGTTAATGTCTGTTTTATGGAATTCATGTAAAACAAGGGAAATGACAAATACCAGTGTTTTTCTTATCCATCATTGGACAGTCTTCCCTTTAATTAAGCAGTATGCTTAATTGGTGTGAAAATTGCTAGTTTTCCTCATTACCTAATGAAAAGTGCATTCAGACTAAGCAAAAACAACCTTGGTTTTAATAAAGTTACACGTTCATTAGCTTTTGATAAATGCCTGCAACCCCTCTCCTCTCCCCGATAATCTCCTTCAAGCACCTCCAGGCTTTAATCACAATAGTCTCAGCAATTAAGGTTTTGATTTTGAATTTGCCTACAGTTGCCCAGAGAGGTATTTTGATCACCACCTGTGTCTCAGATACGATTTGACTATTTCCTTCTGGGGGAAGTCTGTCACAAATTTTCAAGATTTGATTCCAGCTGGAATGATCCGGCTATGTGACAAAGATTTCTAATTCATTACTTCTGTTTGTAGGCTTACACAGGAGAGCAGAATTTTCTATAGATCAAATATAAATGGTTCATTTTTCCAACATGTCAGTCTTTCTATTTTCTCTTGGATTCTGCAACCACTAGCAAGGTAGGAAGAAATGTGTAGATGGACAGTTTATTCTAGGAGATGGCATTTAGTACCACACAGCTCTCACATTACAGACGTGTTTAGTAAGTAATTCCTTCCCACATCCAATAAGGTTTCTTTTACAACTATCACCTGGCAATCAGGTTTGCAGATATGAAACACAGAATACACATGCAAATTAACCTGCATTTCTTATTTCCTCCAAACTGCAAAGCAGTTCAGTAAAAAACTGGAAAAACCTTGAATACTCACTTTTCTAAATAGCATTGACTTATATGAAAAGGTTTTGAAGAACTGCTAGAGTAACCTAACCTTTCCTGAGAATACTATTACTTCTGCATTTTACACTTCAAAGTAGATTAGCATTTTGAAGTAGAACCTGCAAAGAGAGGAACCCCTTAAGAAAATAAAAAGATGGTTATCATTAAAAAGACACTAACTGCCAAGTCGGTCATCTTGCACTGCAAAACTAAGTTCATCTATAATTCATCAGGAAAAGAGGCAAGCACCAATAGCAAGAAGTATACGTACTCCTCAAAGTGATAAATGTCACTTGTTCTTTAGTCTGTTTATGATCACTGAGTCTTGAATATAGCTTCCAAATCTTAATTTTTAGAAGAAACACCATATTGGGGTGCATTGCAAACTGCATCATCATCAATGGTTATGAAATCCTTCCTACTGCAGCAACAATTGTATAGCACCAAAAAGTTCAGGCTGAAAAAGATAAACTACTGGCTAATACCAATCACCTCAGGAGAGAAAAGAGCAATAGAAAGATTAGGAATGGATGGCATGAAAATAGGTTTTACCAAGAAAATTATTTGGTACTCAACGTGACTTTATAGCCCATATTATACTATTTGCTATTCAAATACATTATACTATTATATCATTCAGACATACTGAACTATGTAATATTCAACAATAACAGTAGAATTATCTCATGAAATCAATGGTCAAGTACACTGTGCTCTGAAAGTATCACACAACAGACAACTCAGAAGAGGTAACGGGCATTAAAGCACTGTCTGGGTCAGTTTGTAGCTTTTCATGCATACAAAGTTCTAGCTGACCTGCCATACAGAACTCATTCTTATCTTCACTTTTCTTACTAAACTTCAAAAAGACAGGTGACTTGTACTCAGAAGGTCTCAGCTCCTCTGTCTTCTCAAAAACAAAACTCCAGTAGCTGACATTGCCTAATGTCCTTGGAGCAGCTAAAAAATAAATAAGTAAAACTAAAGAGAGTGGCCACAGGGGGGAATCAGTCTAAAACATAACACTTTCCCAGACAGTAAACCTCCCTAAACTCTCTAGCAAGATGACTCCCCAAAGGAGGCCAGGTTCTGAAGTGCAGTAGCGGGAGGCTGCAGGCACTAAACGTAACAGCCATTTAGACACAGTCCTAGACAACTTCTTCTAGGCAACCCTGCTTGAGGAGGGGTATTAAGACAAGAGAACCTCCAGAAATCCCTTCCAAACCTGACTGATTCTGTAAAAGGCATTTCATAAACTCCAAGACCTACACAAATGTTGACTAGATAAGTCAGAACATGTGGTGGTGACCAACAACACTGCAGAGAATGTGCTTTTCTTAGCTGGCAGCTGAGAGTAATGAAGGATGTGGTACATGCACAGGTACTACAACTGGCTGGAGGCACGCAAGTCCCTGGGCTGCTGGTAACATGGCAGTGGGACTTAACATAAAAAGCTTTCAAAAAACAAAGGCTGTTACAGCTCTAACAAGTGCTCTGTTAGTCACAACCTGCAAAATGGCTACCATACCCAAATGTGGAATTCATTGGGCCACACTGGTTTCTGTTCAGCCTAGTATGAACACAGACAAGGAAGAGATGAAGCATGGTGGGGGTGAGGGATGGATTATGATATGTGGGCCAAGGAGCACAGCAATTTCCAGAAATCTAAAGTAATTTTCACTCTTCTAAGTGATTTCTATTGAAGAGTCTGCAAATCAAATATTTATAGGAAAATAGGTCCCTTCAGAAGAAAAGCTGAGGCCTCAGATACAGTTTTAGTCTTTCTTTTTACACTGTTGAAGCTGTTTGCAGTATAGCTATTGCTAACACAGCTAAGTGTGATTTTCCACACAGCAAAGCCAGTCTGCAAAACTTTTAAGGATGTATCAGAACATCATTGTTAATGACTATTTTAAGTATACATACATTCACTACTAACATTATTAGTTAGTGAGACATTATTTCTGGACCATTAAGCTTGGGGCCTCAGTCTATACTTACAAGTTTCCTGATGTTTTAGCCTATGAGCCTAAATGTTTTAGTTTATGAGATCTATGAACATAAATGAACCAGAACAAAAATTTTTATTCAGTTACATAATCTAACTCCTGATGGTCTACCCCAACATGGAATTACCATTCCTAAAACAAAGATGAAGCAGCAATAAACTTAAATTTTGCCATAAATGAAGATAAGGATTGTAGTATTGATAAAAATACGTCTTTTAAAAACTATGTTTAAATAAGAAAAGAGCTGAAAGAGCTCTGAAGTACTCCCTTTTTTTTTTAAGGCATCAGTACTTCTCTTTGGAATTAACAGCTTGAGAATTCATTCGTTGCAAGCTAAATTTTAGTGTATTCCTGGTGGCCAAGATTTACTTTCTTACAATTAGCATCAGAAGTCATAAGGTCTAATTAATCTACCAGTCAAAAAGTGGTAGCTTTCAAGGGCAGATTGAATAGTCTTCTCTTAAAGGAAGGCACTATTTTCACTAGATCTCCTGCCCTGGGATGCTGAAATTTTAATACTCAGAAACTTTAATGTCTCCTAACATCCCCAGTTATAGGAAACCTGTGTTTCAAAATCCTCTACTAAAACCATCAATTCTACAAGTTCTATTTACCCATCTAACACTTAAAACCCCACAACAGTAGGAGTTATTTGTATGTTAAATGTGCCCCCAGCCAAGCAGTAGAAGGAATTCTGGACAAACTGTGTTCTGTTGGGGTTTCTTTTTGCCTTTTTTTTAAAGTAAACCTTCATGAATCACGTGTTTCTTTAAAACAATGTCACCCTCTTACTTCTAAAAGAACATAGGCAGCCAAGAACTCTCTAGGTTGAAAAAGATCTTTGCTCAAAAGCTAGCAATCTAAACAGCCAAAATAGCTATGGGGAGAATAAGAGAAAGGGTGGCAACAGTATTTACAGCAGACTATGAAAACAAAAGGCATCAAATGGATTTTGAAAGCCACACAAACTCTGGGAAGTCTGAGATTTGTAAGTGGGTAGACATCAGCTTTCTATTTTAATTGCTACATATGTATCAGATGGCTGATCAGATAAGGAAAAGAAGAGGAGAACAAAGAGGAAACAAGCACACATTTCAAAAATGCAGTGGAGATGCTGATGCAACTTGAGCAGTAGTAACCAGAAATGGAGGGAAATAGCTAGAAAACAACCTGCAAAACTAAATCACTTCCAGGAGTTACCACCAGAACAACTTGACATTCAGGATGTAGTTTCCCTGTTTATACAGGATGCGCATACATACTACAGGACAGAGCAAGGAACATCCCTAATTACACTGCAACTTCACCTGAACACAAATCCAGAAACACGGTGATTCCTGGTTCACTCAGAGAATTCACTGCCAGTAATGCATTCACCATTTTCCCCAATCTACACTACTTGAACAAGACACTATTTTGGTATTTCAATACTAGAATGTTATTAACAACACTTTTAAGATTAACAATTCTTTCTTAGAAAAATGTATTTATCTTCATTTTTTTTGCTCTATTTTGTGAAACATGACACAATTAGAACTTAGTTACTGATGAAAAATACTTCCTAATTGCTAGTTAGACTCCCAATTGCACCATTATGGAGTATGCATATTCAACTTCTTTAGGGTAGACTGTGTTACTTAATAAGGCTGTAAGAAAGACTAGGTAATTAAAAAACATACAGTAAGAACACAACAAATAAGAGAGACATGAGCCTACCCCTCTATCAGGAATAAAACCCCTGCATCTGAAACTACACTACCTTTCCAAAGCTTACCTTCTTTTTGTCCCTCATGGAGCCCTTCCCTCGGACCATTATCTTGCATCCTGTTTCTGCCTCAAGCTGTTTAGCTGTTAGTCCTCTGGGCCCAAGGATTCTTCCAACAAAGTTAAACTGGGGGAAAAAGAACCATAAATTATTATTCCTATAAAAGCAAGTAAACAAGATTATTTTAAAATTTAACAAGATGTATTTCTTTCTCTAAAATATCATCAAGTGTTTATCAGTTTAGAACACTAACTAAATACCTAAGGTTACAGAATGAGGTAAGTACTATTTTCATGCATTAGATAACTAAGTGACCCTTACTTTGGGGGAAACAGGTTTCAGGTGAAGATAGATTTTTTGAAGGTTAACATCCATTAGTCTAGGGCAGTCTATGTAGTACTAATTTCCTCCTCAGTAAGTAATTGCATCAGCTTACAGAACTTACAGAACACGTCCCCTCACCACTAACATGACCAGACATGCTCATTACTAGGCAAACAATGTGTATCATCACATCACAGAAGCACAAATGTTCTTGCTGCATGACCAGGCATACACGAGTCTCACCACATGGAAGCTGTGTGCAAGTCCAGTCCCATAATGGCACCAGGCACTCAGGCAAGCCCCCTATGCCCACTATTCGTTTGTTCCTCGCCTACACCTAAGAAGCCTACAAAAAACATTTTTTTTTTTTTCACCTTTCCACACTGTTCTAGTGGGCTCAATCTGGACAGCACACTGCCGGCTGGCCACCCACATCTACAGAAGCTCTTCTTTATCTACCCGTGCCATAGCATTTCCCTTAGAAAAAGACCTGAGGCCAGCTTGTTATGTATTCACATTCCTGGAAAACACTCTGTGTATGCGTGTATATATGTGTATATATAGATACATGACAAAAGCATGTGTCATTTTTGTAAGTCATATACTTTACTCAGTTGTGCATACATAGAGAGCAAGTATTTCTTGTTTAATTGGATAACTTCAGTAACAGCAGACAGCCCCCTGCCTACGCTTAACACAGTAATACCACCATTTACCCAAACATAACAGTATTTCTTAGTTATTTTCCAGGTTTTTTACCTTTCATTATTTTCAATCACACATTCTGAAAATCATGACATAAATAAAAAATAAAAGCATTAAATGCAGGTAGCATTAAGAACATATAGCAGTACTTTGTGACAACTACGGTGCAAAGATGAAGTACCAGGCTCAAAGTACACATAAACCTAGAAATTTCAGAGTGAAGATTAAATTCAAAGAAGCTAATAAGAGGAGAGAAGCATTGGAGAAGTCTTGATATTCTAGATCCTAGTAAACAAAGCTATTCAATGGAATTATGAAGAAGCTGTTTGCTTCCATTTCCCAGCTAATCAAAACTGGTTTTGAGTACTACAATTAAACATATTTGAAATTCTTGTAGAACTGAAAAGACCAGAAATGATTTAGGAGTGAGCAGAAATTATGAACACAAAAAAAATAAAAGTTTTTAAACAAAAATAATCGTGTTTCTCAATGGCTAAACTGTTCATAGGGAAGATACACTCCAAAATTATTTAGCATTCCAAGCTCAAAAAACCAAAGACATACTATGAAGTCTGAATCAATTGCTGAGGTAAAAAAAATAAAGATTAAAGTCACTTCTGAAGGGACACATGAACTGTGAATCACAGGAAATTAAGGAGGACTCACTAAGACTGGATAAAACAATGAACCAGGCACAAGTGATGAAGTTCAGCTGTGAACTACTATCCAAATCTTGCATTTGTTACACATTTCATGTTTAATACCAAAATCATGCAACTATCATGATGTAAACAGAATCTTACTGCCTTTCTCCACAGCCACGCTTACTGCACACTAAATCTTTAGCTAAATATCCCATTTCACTGCTAAGGCTAAAATAATATTGCAAACCTGACCCTGAATCACTCTTCTAACCAACACACAAGGCGACTATCACTACATTCTCCAACTCCCAAGAAAAACAGCATCCTCTAATATTTTATTAACTTGGATCATAATTAAAAGAATAATTCTAAGATAAGATAATTTGGATAAAAAAATAAATAGAACAATTTATAATACTAACAAAAAGGCAGGAATATGTATTACTCTCAAGCTTGCAACTTTATTCATGTTGTCTTAACATTATTTAGAATTGTGGTTTCTAGTTAAGAAATTGCTGACTTAAATTGAAAAAAAACAAAAAAAAAGTTAAGCCAGTTTCTTTTCTAGCTGCTCCCAAAATATTCTCCTTATAAAGAGCCTTCATAAACCTTTCGAAGGTAGATCAACCCCTTGTCTCTTCTTCCAAAACTTCACACTTTAGCCTTTCAACCTTTTTGGACAGGTATTTTTCTAAAACTCTGACTGCTCTTGTAACCTCTCAATAGCCCTCCAATTTGCTCATTTCTTAAAGCGGGATGTCTGGACAAGGCAGTACTTCAAAAGAGACCTCAACAAGGTTAAGTTACTGAGACCAATTACATCTTAAAAGCCACATTCCGATTAACACATCCCAGCTTCTTTCCCTCCCAAAATAATTTAGCTCTTGATCCAACATTCACTGACCCCAGATACTCTTTCCCATTACCTCTGCACTGCCAGTTTTCCCCAGTTTAGGATTCATATGCAACTTTTACACCTCCCTACACCACCACATTGCTCTGCATTTGTGCAATGAATTCCACATTGTTGTTGTGCAAAATTAACTCTCTTAAGAGACAGTAAATACTGGGAGACTGAACACAATGATCGTTGTTGTTGAAGGCAACAGAAACAAACATATTAGGTAAAAGTTTGCTCTAAATCCTAATTTTTGCACCTGCTCTGGAACATTAATGATTACTGTGCAGCAACTGATGTTCCCAAGACCTGACAAAATTTCTATCTGGTGTTCTAACTCACAAGTCCACTGCATCAGAAATTCCCTAATAAAAGCAGCTTGGATTCCCTATGCACAAACCAACTATCTCCCAAACAGACAAGGGGCTCTTAAAGTCCTTCTATACCTCACCAGAATCTACACTCAAAACAAACATAGTAAAGAAAAATAGGAACAACCTATGCTAAAGACTCAAAGCTGCTGATTAACAAGAGGTTGCAAAGAAGTGTGTATGGGAAATGCAGTGTTTGAGAAACTTTCCATGCAAGTTAAAACCCAAGGAACTTAAGGGAGTCCAGTAGTACTGTTTCATACTATTATTGTGCCTTTCATATTTTGTGTTTTCCTTTGAAACCTGAAAGTAAGATATAGCAATATCTAATTTATTTGATTAAAAAAAATAAATAAATACCCTCTTCCCTTGATTACTGGGGAAGAAATTGAAAACACATGATTTAATTAAAATACCCAAATCTTGTAAAAAAAAAAAGAGCATAAGCACATGCATCTGGTTAAACAATTATTCTTCTCAACTAAAAACTAATTTATTCTACCATCTTATTAGCAAATGTTCCAGTGATTTGCTATACACTGAATTTGCAGAGCTAGTTACTTATCACTGGAAAAAAGCCAAAACCAAGCTATTCTTGAAGTCTATTTCAACTTAAGAAAATCAAGTCATAGAAAGCTTTTATGTTGTTCAGATACAATGCATATTTGAGTACAAGTGTTTTGCACACAGCCTAAACATTATTTTAATGAAAATCTCAGGCAAACTCCAGTAGTTCCTCATTATAACAAAAGCAAAAGATACTCTATGCTTCAAACTGACTTCTTCAATTAATAATACTTTAAGACATAATAATAAATATTTAAATTCAGCAGAAGTTCTAATCACACAAAAGAGAGCCTTTTACAATGATCCACAAACTTTGCAGTTTGTCTCATTTCTAGTAATCTAGCATTTGGTCTCACCTTCTGATCTCCAACTTAGAAAAAACACCTAAACTCTGTGAATGTCTTTAAAAACCCTACTAACTACTCCAAACGAGTACTTGTAACTATAGATGTCTACACTTGATGCTACTTAATTCTTAACTGCTTGCAGAATCAATTTCAGTATAGTTATACCATACATCAAAACATATTCTGCATTCTGAGACTACCTTTACATACCATGACTTCCCCCCTTTTTAACCATAACACAGCACAAAAACTTCAGGCTTCTGCAACAGTTACAAAGCAGCTTAGCTTTCCCCCTTAGTCAGACCTTTTCCAATTACAGTATTGTATTTTATTTTACACCTAAGTGTTAGACATAAGTCTGCCAGCTATAAGTGGATTTTCAGGAACACAAAAAACATTCACCCTCCCATATGCAAATTAGCTTTTAGGTTGTATATTAATACATCAAACAAACTAAAGCATCCCAAAAAATGTGGTTCTAAATGCCCTGGCATTTTGTTTCTGAAGACATTTCCTGCTCACTTCATTTTCATACGCTTTTCTTCACCAAATAAAAGGCACCTGAAGATGAAGACTTTGTATGGTTCAGTGGTTAAAATGTCAAGGTTAAGAAGCAGCTGAAAACTGGATGTTATAATGGAGAACATCTGGCAATTTTATCTTAAGCAGCAAAGGTAACAGTCATTTTGGAGGGAACCTTCTATGTCTTCAGATCCTAATAGTCCTATTCCAAGAACATTTGGGAAGGTTACTTAATCTGATGGAGTAACAGGCTAAAGCGCTAACTGTGGAAACAAAGCAATGAAGAGACACAAAGAAACTGCAGTGAAGAGAAAGGCATTCAAAAGAAAGTGTAATAAATATGTATGCCATTTTTTTTTGTTAAATGTTAGTACTCCTTGTGAGCAAAATTAACATTACTCCTAAGCATTAAGACATTTTTTAAAGTTACAAGTAAATTTGAGTACTTATTTTCATCCACAGTTTTTGAGGAAGAAAAGCAGTTAATGCATTTAATGGAAACATTTATATGCAAAATTAAATTGGAAATACTAGTGTATAAGATAAAAGATTGCACTATGCTGACAAGACACACAGGAGACAAGGCTCTGAACCCACCAAAAACTGTCACTGGCCCACCAAAATTAGCAAATTTGGGTTTCTGGTTTTTAATTGTTTTCTTTTTAAAGAAGCACTGGTTTATGATACTAGTAATACAGTTATTTTAAAAAAAAAGTATTTCTGCATTTATTAGAAATAGTTTGAATTG